GTGGCGAGGAGCAGGCTGGTCTGCCCCGAGACGAAGGCCGCGAGCGCCTCGTCTCGCTCCTCTCCGTGCAGCGAGCTCGCGTCGATGCCGCGGGCGTGCAGCTTCTGGTCGAGCGCCTCGGCGCGCCGCTTGGAGGACACGAAGACCAGGGTGGGCGGGAGGTGGCCCTCCTCCTTGGGCGCCTCGACGAGCTGAATCAGCACGCCGTCCTGCGACAGGCGCGCGGGGTTCGGGCTGAGAGCGGGTGCTCGGGCCGCGGGGCGCACCGTGAGTGTGTGTGTGTGCGCGCGCGTGTGTGAGCGTGTGTGCGCGCGCGTGTGTGAGCGTGTGTGCGTGCGCGTGTGTGAGCATGTGCATGTGAGTGCTGAGGAGTGAAAGGGGTGCCCGCCGCTGCTGCGCTCGCCTTGTCGCGCTCGGCCACTCGCTCCATCCGCTGCGCGACGTGCTCTCCCGCCACGGCGCCTGGCCCGGCGGTGAGCGAGACATAGTCGCGGCCGCAGTCGAGCGCGAGCGCCTTCATCTCGGGCGGGTGCGTGGCGGAGAAGACGAGCGTCTGCCTCTCCTCGGCCGGCGGCATCTCCGACTGCAGCACGATCTTGCGGATCTGCGGCTCGAAGCCCATGTCGAGCATCCGGTCCGCCTGTTCATGGATGGAGAGGTCAACAGGTTCGTTCGCTCGAGAAGCCAATGTCGAGCAGCCGGGGTCCGCCTCGTCGAGGACGAGCACTGCAACCGAGGAGGTGACCACACGCGATCTCTCCATCAGGTCGCCCAGCCTGCCCGGCGTCGCGACGAGCAGCTCGCAGCCGCGCTCGAGCTCGCGCAGCTGGTCGACGAGCGGCGCGCCCCCGAAGCAGGCCACCGGCCGCACTCCCGCGCCGTAGCACGCCTTGCGCGCCTCGGCGAAGACCTGCTGCGCTAGCTCTCGCGTCGGGGAGAGGACGATCGCCGACGGCGCTACCTGCCGCCGGTCGCGCGGCGGCAGCTCCGAGGAGAGCAGCCGCGCCACCGTCGGCAGCAGGTAGGACGCCGCACGGCCGCACCGGCCGGTGATGGCGCCCGTCACCATCACGTTTTTCCCGAGCAGCGCCGCCGGGAGGACGTACTGCTGCAGCGCGGTCGGCTTCGTGTAGCCGGCGCGCTGCATGTTCGACTGCACCGCCGCCGGAAACTCGAGCTCTTCGAACGAGCTGACGGCGGCCGGCGCGTCGCCGCCCGTCACGCTCGCCGTGCCGCCGGCGCGCGACGCGCCGCCCTCCGCCCCGCCCGCCTCCTTCTCCCTCCTCGGCGGCGAGCCGAAGATCTCCTCCTCCAGCTGACGGCTCCGGCCGCCCGGCGTGTACTCGTCCTGCCCGCCGCCGCCCCCCTTGCCGCTCCCCTTGTCCCGCGCGCCGCCCTTGCCGCCGCCGTCCGCCGAGCGCCACCCGTCCGGCGGGGCGTCGCCCTCGCCCCGCCCTCTGCCGCCGCCCTTGCCGCCGAGCGAGACGTGCCGCGCACCACCCGCGCCGAGGGTCACTCGCACCGACTCGGGGGCCGCGTCGCCGCCCGCCGCCCGCCAGCCGCCGCCGCGCGAGCCCTTGCCGCCCTCCCCCTTGCCGCCCTCGCCCCTGCCGCGCCCCATCTCGGGCTCGGAGATGGGCGCGGCGGGCGGCGGGCTCTCCAGCAGCGCGCGCACGTCCGGCTTGCCCGCCGCCACCGACAGCGCCGTCGCGCCCGACGAGCTGGCCGCCGCCGGGTCGCCGCGCGCCTGCAGCAGCAGCCGGCACACGGCGGTCTGGCCGCGCGCCGCCGCCTTGAGCAGCGGCGTCTCGCCCTTTTTGTCGCGCGCGTTGGCGTCGGCGCCGCGCGCGAGCAGCAGCTGCACGTCGCGCACGTGCCCCGCTTGCGCCGCCGCGTGGAGCAGCGTCCACGAGTCGAACAAGCCGCCCGACATGGCCGAAGTCGAGCTGAGCCCGGCCGACAGCAGCCCGGCCACAACCTCCGTCTGCTCGTCGCCGCCCCGACTGCTCACGCACGCAAACGCCCTCGCCAGCGCGTCGGCCTCGCCCGCGCCTCGCCCTTGAGACGGCTCCGCGCCGCCTCGGCCAAAGGCGTCCGGCCGCCCCGCCTGGCGGCCGTGCGGCCCCTCCCCCTTGCCGCCCTTGCCTCCCCCGCGCCCCGCCGCCGGCTGGCTCACCAGCCGCGCGGGAGCCGGGTCGGGCTGCGGCCTGACCTCGGGCGACCTTGGTGGCCGGCCTCCGCCGCCGCGCGGCGAGCGAGGACTCAGCGAGAGGACGGACGGGCGGGAGGAGACGGGCGCCGCGCGCGAGGGCGGCGACGGCCTGCTGTCCGCCGCCGGCGCCGGCGCGCCGAACGGGAGCGCCGGCAGCTCGTCCTCGTCCGACGAGTTTGCGTTGTCTGCCCAGACGCGGCCCTCGGCCTCGCGCGCGGCGGCCGCCTTGGCCGCCGCGGCCTCCTCCTTGGCGCGCACCTTTTCGCGGAGGGCCTCCTCGCGCTCCCGCCTCGCCTTGGCGTCCGCGTCGCGCTTCGCCTTCTCCTCCGCCTCGCGCGCCGCCCTCTCCGCCGCCTCCTTGCGCTTCTCCTCCTCTCGAGCGAGGGCGGCCCGGTGCTCCTCGATGATCTGCTGGCGGCGCGCCTCCTTCTCCGCCTCCTCGCGCGCCGCCCGCTCCTCCGGCGTCAGACCCGCGTCCTCCCGCTCCTGACGGGACGGGTCGCGGCGGCGGTGAGGGCGGCTCTCTTGGGCGTGGAGGCGGGAGCAGGCCGGTGCGGGCGGGTGCAGGGGTGCGGGAGCAGGCCGGTGCGCGCGCGTGTGCGGCACCTGCTGCTCACGCGCGAGCCTGTCGCGCTCCTCCCGCTGCCGAATCGCCTCGGCGGGCGTGAGCTTGCGGTATGTGCCGCCCTTGCCCTTGCCGCCGCCGCCGCCGCCGCCGCCCTCGCCCTCGCTACCCCTGCCGCTGCCCCCGCCGCCCTTGCTGCCCCTGCCGCTTTTGCCGCCGCCCTTGCCGCCCCGATCGTCGTTGCCGGAGCCGCCTGGCCGAGGGGCGGCTGGGTGGGCGCGAGTCGGGTCCGGGAGGGGGGCCGCAGGGGCGGTGCGAGGGGCGGGGCGGTGTGTCAGAGGCGGTGAGAGCCGGCGCACCCTTTTGCCTCGGAGGAAGCACGCCGCCAAACCGCGACTGCGCTGGGTCGGTGATCGGGCCCATCTCGGGCTCGGAGATGGGCGCGGCGGGCGGCGGGCTCTCCAGCAGCGCGCGCACGTCCGGCTTGTCCGCCGCCACCGACAGCGCCGTCGCGCCCGACGAGCTGGCCGCCGCCGGGTCGCCGCGCGCCTGCAGCAGCAGCCGGCACACGGCGGTCTGGCCGCGCGCCGCCGCCTTGAGCAGCGGCGTCTCGCCCTTTTTGTCGCGCGCGTTGGCGTCGGCGCCGCGCGCGAGCAGCAGCTGCACGTCGCGCACGTGCCCCGCTTGCGCCGCCGCGTGGAGCAGCGTCCACGAGTCGAACAAGCCGCTCGAGCTGACGGCGCTCACCTTGATGTTGGCCAGCAGAGGTACTAAGGTCTCGGGCTCATCCTTGGGCGACGACGCCGCAGCGAAGGCCCGCGTTAGGATGATGTCCTGCAGTGGGTCGGGCTGGGGCATGCACGAGAGGAGGAGAAGATAGGAACACGCGTCGGTCGAGAGGTTCTGGCCCCTGCCTGGCACAAAGAATTCTTGAGCACTTGAGCACTGGATAGGGTCGGTTCCGCATGGTACGGGACCCCTCGATCGTCTCGCCCTCCCTCACTGGTGTGTTCATTGGGGGGGGTCATAACAAACACGGTACAGGATCGAGGTGCACGCTGCCGAGGCAGTATCGTCCCCCCTCTCCCCGACGGCGATGGCGGTGTGACCGATCGAGCTACAAGAGGAGCTTGTTCAGCAGGATCCGGGTTGGGCTGGCGCACTACCTCACTGGGCCTGAGACCGCAACGCCGCTTCCCGTCACCGTCTCGGGTTTATGTGGGATCGAACCACTCCGGGATGGGCAAGCCCATCGTTCTGAGTTGCGTCTTTCCCTCACCTGCAGGGGACCGCCGAACGTGTGACGCGCGCCGTGTGGGCCGGTCCGGGCCCGGTGGGGGAAGGGGGGGGGGGGGGGGAGCGGGGGCTCTTCCAGGTAAGAAAAGGCAGGCATAGCAACTTTGACACGTACTACAGAAGCACCGCCGAGAAACAGGCAGTGACGATCTTCCAGCCGTGCGGCACCAGCCAGATGTCCCTAAGGTTCTTGAAGAGGGACGGATCCCGCTTCGCCTTCGGGATCATGGTTACAAACCACTCCCTCCATTCGGGAGGGTATCGTCTCTCGCGGACGACCTGGGCTAGCGACTGCCGATATGCCTCTTGGAGCCACCGAGGGGCCCACCTCAGCAGGATGCATTGCCACCCATCGCTCCCCGCGCTCTGCTTCGCTCTGCACGTGTCGAGCGCGTCGGCGAAGATTTCCTCATTGATCGCCGCTTCCACCCAGTCTTCCCCCTCGCCTAGTGGACTTGCGGTCGCCGAGGGGGAGCCCGTCTGCCGCAGGATCCACTCCATCATCGGAATGTTTGCCTGCCGCCTGGAGTTTGCCTTGACCGCAGCCTGTCTCACTGTGTCGAAGACAAGCCAGAGGAGGGATGGGAGGACGGCACGCCGCCACCACACAGGGATTTGAAGGAGAGGGGTGTGGTGCCCTCGCTAGCCGTCGCCCACCCTTGGGCGTCTGCCTCTTCCTATCTCTCTTCGCAGTCCCTCGCCGATTCTCGCTGCAACCTTCGTGCCACCTCGCGGTCTTCCCACTCTCGTCGTTCTCTCTCTTGTCGCTTCTTCCTCTGTCGCGTCGCTCTCCTCTGCCTCGTTCTGCGACGACGCCGCTGCCTGCCGATCCCTTGCTCTCGCCTCTCGGCGTAACTCTGCCCTTGCTGGCGGTATATTTTGGCCCCTCGAGTTTATCGAGCTCTCCTCGCGCAAGGACCACATTTCTGACTCCCACTGCGATCATTTGCCGCCAAGTCATATCGTTGCTCAGGTCCACTCTCGTTTCGGATACTTGTACCTCCAAAAAGAAAGAAAGAAAACAGACACCCAAGGGAGGGATGGGAGGACGGCACGCCGCCACCACACAGGGATTTTAAGGAGAGGAGTGTGGTGCTAGCCGTCGCCCACCCTCGGGCGTCTACCACTTCCTATACTTGTACCTCCACGGCACATGCGACTTCTTCTCTGAATTTTTACTCGGGAGAACACGGCGTTTTGCTTCGCATCTGACAATCATCGTGCTCTCTTCGGCACTCTTGCCGCCCCTCGTGGTGCCCTCCTCGGGGCGCTCAGGGATGGAGGTGGAGCAAGCACCCCCCGACCCGACCAATTTTGGCTCGGCGCCACCCGACCTGACCAATTTCAGCCCCAACCTCTCCGTGCACGCGCCAACCTTTGTGCCGCCGATGGCGTTACCTATGGGTATGCAGGGTCACCCGCAAGGGTATGACTTCGTCCCGATGGCCGGCCCGCACTTTGTGCCGATGGTGATCGACGGCGAGCAGATGTGGAGCATCCAGATGCAGTCCGCGCCGCCGATGCACCCGCCGCACCCATCGCACTTTCAGCATCCGCCGTTCTCGCCGCACCTTCCGCCGCACCCGCCGTACTCGCCGCACGGGCACCCATCGCCGCCTCACTTTGCAATGCCGCCGCAGCCCATGGACGTCTTGCAGCGCGGGATGCGGCGGGCGCCGCCGCCACGCCACACACAGGGCCGGCACGGCCCGCCGCCTCCGGTGCAAGTTGGGTTTGAGCTAGATGGCCGCGAGGGGCCGATGACCCCCGACAAAGAGCGGCGGGCGCCAAGGGGCGAGCAGACCAGGAACAGGAGGGGGCCACGAGGCAAGGGCGGCGAGCACGTCAAGCACAACCGCGAGCCGGGCAAGACCCCGCGCGCCTTTTGGGCCCGCCAATACAAGACAAAGTGCGCACCCCCCCTCCCTCGCCCCTCGACCTATCCTTCCCAAATGCCCCCCCCCTCCCCGCATTCGCTTCCTCCTCTCCCTCTCCTCTTTTTTTTTTCTCTCTTCCTTTTCCTTCTTTCCCTCCCTTTTCCTCTCTCTTTTCCTTTTTTCTTTCCTCCTCTCTCTTCTCCTTTCTCTTCTTCTTCTCCCTCCCTTCTTTCTTCCCTTTTCTTCT